ATGGTAGTCAATATTCGGCTTTCCATTTGCACAGTAAAAGTCATACTTGGTCATAGCGTTATTCTGAGGCATGTTTTTTTAGGAGATTTATTTTCTCCCATAAAGAGTGCTGTGTGCCACATAACACTGGAGCATGGCTGTAGAGCTACTGGAGGCATTTTGCCTCTGAGTGACCAGACTTTGTGGAAACAGACAACATCTAAATCCCCGACTTGAGCACTGTTGTTAGTTTATCCAGTACAGAGATCACTCTAATCTGCTATGAAGAGGACAGCAGGAGGGTTTACAATGGAAAAGGTATTTTCTTCAGTCCAGGGGTGAAATAATTCAACTGTGTAAGGTATGAAAGCAAGCTCATCAGATAAGCACTCCGGATTCTGATTACACATCCAAAAAAGGTTTGTTCAGGCTGGTGTGGCTTAGAAAAGATGTTTAGTGGAATGATGGGACATACCTTCTGAGAGAAGATTTAAGACTTAAGACCTTAGGCCTAGCAAAAGGAAGGTTAAGATGTTTGCTCTTTCAGGGTGTCATAGCTGAAGGAAAGCCTGTGCTAAGGAGGAGGCCTCTGGCCTGCAGCATGCTTAGCAGGGTGTCCTTTCAAGCAGTAGCACATTTCATCTTACCCCCTTGCAGTCATCTCTGCTTGGAGCATGTTGCCGGTATGTCTCCTGGACGCTGCCTAGACAAATCTCTTAATCCTGTTCCGTCTCCTCTGCTTTTAAGCATGGCAGAGTCCATCATCTTGATTTGGTTTTGAGCCTCTCCCTTTGGCTTTTAGTTTCTGAAAGAATAACCAGTTCCTTTATTGGAATAGACTTATGTCCGGGAGTAAGAATAGCTTAAGTAACACTATCTCTTAGTATTTGGGCCTTTTGCACTACTTTGATTCCTTTCTCTGACTCACATTAAACCCTAGGGAAATACTGGTTTGGCTACAGTTTTGCAAACAATTGAAGCTGTAGCTAACATCTGGTTATTCAAGACGCCTTTTTCCTCCTGCGTAACTGATCTGGAGTTTGTGGACTGGGGGAGTGGTTTGTCATAACTTATTGTGGCTTCTGAACTTTTTAGACCTGTTATCATGCAGACCAAGTAGCGTGGGTGTCCTTTGGGGCAGATCAGAGGAAGCTTTGTAGAAAGGTTTGTGTGGTTGTGGGGAATTAAGGACAGTAACCACTGTACAGTTCTGGAGTTTCTGATATCTCTTACGTATGCCTGAGAAGTGTTCATGTCTGGTAAGACTATATTGGAGTTGTGAAAGACAATGTTTGTTCTTTAAGGCTCACTTTCCAAACTGTGGCCTATTAGCACATCTCTCACATTATTTCTGTTCAGTGCTTCTTACTGAAACTAGTTTTGAAGGGAACAGGGAAGAAGTTTGTATTTTAGATGACTGTCCTTAATTTTTTTCCTCTTGAAAAATCCCCATTAATGTGACACAGCATAATTTTCACAGGAAGTCTGAATTTTTCACGTCCCGCAGAAGATTAGCACCAAACAAGAAAACCTTTTGAAGTTCAGAAAACTTTCTGCAGTACGAGGAACTTGACACACCTGTCTGTCAGAAAGTTTTTGTTTCACAGAAACCATTCAAATTGGAAGAGATGAAGTTCCTCTGACTTTTAAAATACATTATGAATAATGTACTTCTGAACACTTCATTAGAATGAAACTTAGTCCACTGCCTTGGTTAATGTATTTCATGGCACTTTCCCTATTGTGTGATTTAATCTTGAATTACTCAATTCAGTTATTGGTATATATTTTAAAAAGGAAAAAAAAAAACATTTCTTGCAAAAAGTTGAGTTAAAGTGCTTGCAACTAATGTTTATTTTAACTTGCTTAGATACAAGGTATGATCCCACAGTAAGCGCAAGCCTTGGCTTTGAAAATACTCCCTATGACTGCTGTTCTTTATTTGGAAACTAGAGACAACTTTTTTCTTCCTTTCTTTTAGCGGTTATTTTAAATAGGCTTGGTAGTAGACCAAATACACAATATATGTTCAATTTGAAAAATGTTTCTTTTCTTATCAAAAAAGTCCTGATGTCACAAAGTTTACATGCTTTGCCCTGATATTTGCAGGTACAGTTCACTTACATGCAACTATTGCTAACAGTTGTAGCGAGTATCACTTTATTTCTTAAGTGCACTTGATCCAGTTTCTTTTCATGGATTGCTGGCTTTTGTGCTCTTTTTGCAAATCATTTATGAATCCGGGCTCACACATGAAAATGTAAGGAGTGCTTTAATTTGCTTGTGACTTGATGAACAATATTGTACTGTTTTTAGGTTATACCTGTGATCTTTCCTTCTCCAGAAGGTCAGCTAAGATTCTTCTGATGCTTTAAAGACACCTACCAGGAACTTCGTTGCTGTGTGTAGCTATAGTTACCAGAAGTGTAAGGACAAATCCTTATGTAGTTATTCATTATGTGAAGGGGGCATATGGGAGGTAGGGTAAAAGATAGACATAGCAAGACCATACCAGCTAGTAGGAATACACCCAGTTGCTACTGTCAGTGGCATGTGTTACACGGGTGAGTCTCCTCATGCCTGAGATATTGTGGGGGAAACTCTTGCTGTGTTTGGGTACATTCTCCCTTTTCTCAGCTGCAGAAGACGATCCTGGAGAGGTGACCAGGCTGGCATGAGATAGCTCAGCATTTCCACACACATCAGTCAGCAGGGTTAGCGTGTTGAGATGCCCTAGCTCTCTGCCATCTGAAAGCAGCTAGAGGGGATGAGTTCAGACAGTAGAGGTTCAGGAATAGTAGTGGTTAATAGGGAAGACAGACAGGATAGAACAGGCTCATAGGTTTAACTGCAAAATAGGGATTAATTTATGCATGAGGGAAAAGGGAATATGAGCGTTAAGTAAATAAAGCGTTTAAGAGCAACAAAACATCTAAACATGCTGGCAGGAGTAAGTGAACACTAAAACCTGTGTTATAGGTATTTTTGAAACAAATTTGTAGTATGGAAGTGTGGGTGTGATACAGGCTGCTTTGATCAGTTGATGGCATTGCAGTGTAAGAATAGAAGGCTCCCCAAGGCAATGATGGACACCAGTGAGCCTCCAGGCTCAAGCAACTACATCTTAAAAATACTGCTGTGTCATGTAGTCTTACTCACTTGGGAGTTTCCATGCTGTGCAGCTCTTTTGAAATGCAGGTGTGATTGAACCTGACAATTTTGCCTCACCCTGTTCCTCATCACACTCGTTTCTGGTATTCTCTGGCCTCCCTTGAAGCCCAAGAATTTGAGGAACAGAAAAATTACAGATAGCAAGACTGTGACTAAGACATTTGTAGGATTTGCAGACTTTTGGAACACAAGCTCCCGTATGCTTGCAGGGAGCACCTTGGGTTGGCAGTTCTCTCTACTTACAATCTCAGCATAAAACTGCTTATTTGGGTTTTTTTAGGCAAAAGGTTGGGTTCCGCTTAAAATTCTTGAATTGCCCATTTAATTTTAGTTTATGTTAGCCGAAAATAAAAGCTGGTGCCTTGTGGTCAGGCAGGACAGATCCGAGAGTGAAGCAATGGGGAAACAATTGTTTTTTTCCTTATTGACTTTATTAGTGCTGTAACCCTTTCAAGGATACACAAAGTGTGACTTAGGAAGTGTCAATTCAGTGCCCCTGTGGTGGGGAGTGCTAAGGGTTGAGGAAGGATTAGATACGGGAATAGTTGCTGTATATAAACGTAAGACCCCTTGACAGCAAGTCGCAGCACCAGTAAGGCAGAACTCCATGGCTTTTGTCCTGTGACATAAGCTCTAGTTTAGCTGCAAGGTAGGATACCGCCTCATTAGATTTCAATTAAGATGTTGTGAGTGTATCTTCTGATCTTACTTACCAAAGTGTGATCAAAGCAATGGATCTTTTTATGCCCTTCCTAAAAGAAAATGGAGATTAAATTAGTCTGGGAACCTCTGTCAGCAAAACTTCTGTCTTAGTAGGAAAAGAAACTTTATTGTCAAGACACCCTCGCATGATGGCAGTGGCTGTGTTGTTGCTGTAAAATTGCAGAAATTAAACATTATAATGGAAAGCTTCTGTAAATGGCGTCATTCAGGCCAGTCATTAAATTAATAGGCAACATAGTTTGGCTTTCTTCTTTAATGCTAAGAGCATCCTGTAGTCTTTCTGAGGCTTTAGTCTTCCGAAGGAGGGTGTGTGTATATATTTGTCATGTCTTACTTTAAAGTATTGTCATTCTTCAGACCCAGCTGTTAATGACACCTTTTTTTCTCTAAATTTTCTGAGTTAACATTTTATTACAAAATTATGAAAAGGGAAGCCAGGGAAAGGCTCTGATGGCACATCTCTTAGACCTCAGACTCTAATTCCTTAACATATATTTCTGAGGTAGTGGCATGTGCTGTGAAGGGGCAATGCACTGTGGTGGCAGTGCTGCTTTTGTAAAATAAATCAGCACTTTCGATACTTTGTGAGGACCCTTTATTGTGAAAATCCTGCAGGTGGACTCTCACAGAAGAAGTAAATGACAGGCAAAATAGGACCCAGGTTCCTCTTGCAACATTGGGCCACAAATAATCTGCTAAGCGCTAGATACTGTCATGCAGGATGTTTTTCTCCCAACTTGCCAATCAAATTAATTTCCATTAGTCATCGGGTCTGAGTACTGAACATGGAATGCATTTTTCCTAAATGAGACATTCTCTTTGGAACAGAAGCTAGAGCTACAAATTTTGTAAGCACTGAAATATCTGTGGCAGTGTTTCAATTTTCCTTTCTTCGTTGCTGAAATTCCAGTACTGGAGCTCAGAAATCTGTTCAGATGTATAATACTGTGAAGTCAGTAGATGAAGACTTTTCAGGACCTTAGTATAAAAGATATGTCATAATTTTGTTTTTTAATATGTGCTGTATTGTCAACATGTTGCAGTGGCGTTTGACATCGGTATGAATCCTGCAATACATGTTTCCATCTCTTTTTTTTATTATTATTTTTTTATTTTTCCCTCTGCAGTTCAGATGGAGAAAATGGAACAGATGAAAAAAGAAAGGCAGGAAAATCACCTACTGTGTTGCTGCAGACCCCTACCAGTGAAATGGAATATTTTGATGACCGGAGAAAAGTTGATGTTGCTAGGTAATGTCAGAAATGCTGTCAGTTTTCTTCTAGTCAGATAATCAGAATGGTTACAACCCATTCAAGAAGCTATGCTGAGTAGCAGGATTTATCAGATATCCCAGTTGTGGGTTAGCTTGCACACTATGCAAGTAAACAGGAATCGGAGCCACCTTCCAGGGGTTACTCTGTTACCCGCCACAGGCAGTCACAATAGGGGGAATTTAGACTTCAGGCTAGCTTAGCTTCCCTGTTCTAGGAAAAAATACATCGTACTGTTTGGTGCCACTACTAGTTACATCCCTTTCACATTCAATTTGACAGGCAGTCAAACTGAGCTGCGGTTTGAGTCCTGGGCTGTTCCCAGAACACTTGTACTGGAATATTGATTGTCCATGGTAAAGCTATGACAAAAGTTTTAATTTTGGAGACTGCTGTATATTGCATCAGATTATTGTAAAGTCTCTGCAAAAACAGTCTTCTCCTTTGTTGGAGAACTGGAATGCATTTGAAACTCTTGTAAAAGAAAACTAAAAAATACTAAAATCCCACTTGGAGGGCTTGAATACAAATTTTGCATCCCTTTCACTTTGTCAACTGAGCAGCCAACGCAGAAGTCAGCAGTCAACCTGACACTGTGGTTTTGGTCATAAGGCAGATATTTAAAAAACATCACTTACCTTCTCCTCAAAGATGCTTCAGGAAATTATGTGAAGAAATATGTGATTACTTTTTGTTGTTGTTGTTGCAAACTCTCCTTCCAGTCTTACCTCTCACATACAGTGTAATTGACTGTGTGCTGCTGAGGGGTTAGCGTAAGTTTTTTGTAATGCTCACTCATTTCAGTTTGACCTGTACTTTGCATAGGCACACAAATACATGTACACGTATATTTTAGAGTTTTCTTCTGTGAGGGATCACCTGAGATACGCAGCCAGTCCCCCTGCTATCTAAATCACTCCTGCTGTACAATCTTTTGCCTAAATCCAGCTATATCTCCACTACACTTGGGGGTTCTCTTCCTCTCACCCTTACAGTTTTTATTGGAAATCCTGAACCTCTCAAGTTTAGGAAAGTAAAGAAGACTTATTGTGCAGGATAAGGTGCAATAATGGAAACTTTTGTAGCACCTTTCTTTCCCCATTGAGTCTTTAGCACAACATGTTCTTCGGGTCATTCAGTATAGGAGTCCTGTGTTATGTTTTTCCTTCTGTTCTTCAGTCTGCATCTGAAGGCCTCTAAAAAAAGAGCTACCTTATTTTTATAGCCTGTTGATATGCTTTTGTTCTGTGCTAAATAGCTCTCGGGGATAATGTTCTTCTGTTCCTGATTTATGAAACACTGTTATTGCACCTCTGTTTTTGTTTTTCTGAACAGTCCATGCCATTAATTTCTCCTGTATAAAACAAACAAAACTTATTTTCCCAACCATCTGCAGAGACTTTCCTCTTGTTTTCTGTACTTGTTCTACTCCAGAGTTGTTGGGTTTTTGGTTGGTTTTCTTTTTCCAATATGAATCGCTAGAGCTGTACAGGTACAGCTTCCTATACAACTGGCACTCACAATTCCTTTTCATCTCTAGGATTGCTGTCTATCTTAATGATTTCATTACACTACACAGTTCATAGACATCCTCTGACTTGTAGCACCTATGTTTCTTCTCTGTTGCACTGTCCAAATGTTCTCATGTTTTGTAGTGCCAGTTCATGGCTTTCAGTACACTACCTTGCACTCTCAGCTACTAAGTTTTCCCTTACTTATCTTGCATTAGTAAGTAACATGCTTAGTGATAGTATTTCACATGTTGCCCAGAGACAAATGAACATGGAGCTAAGCACTGTGATACTTCATTAAGTTGTAAAAATGTCTTGAACTTCTTTTTACTTCCTTATAACTAGTAATTTAGCATATTCCTTCTAAATTAAAAGACGACCTGCAGTGAGGGCTGGCATGGTTTAAGAATAAGATATATTCCTCTTTATTGCTGCATAATCCTTGATGAATCAGATAATAGTTACTAAAGGATTAATATGCTTCATGGAAAAGCACATCCTGTTGATAACTTACCAAGACTAATGAACTCAGGCCAACCTCATATGGGATGCCTTTTTAAATCTTCAGGACAAAGAGCAGCACAGATAGTCCACTTCTGACAATGGATATCAAGAGCGACTCTAAGATTGAAAGGAAAAAACGTGCCTCAAATCAGGTAGGGCAGAGGATGGACTTGTTTGTTTATATATAGTGAGAGTAAATACATATCTACCATGAGAGCCCCCTTGTTTAGCAATATTATAGTTCATGGTTGCATAAGGACATAGATTCCTTTTTCATCAGCGTGTTAGAGTCTGGGTAGAGCAGGATACAGACTTAATAGCCACATAGCAAAAATGAGGATTTATTGTAAAACGAGTGGGTAAAATGAGAAGGTATTGGGAGGACAGGAATTAGAATGGGTCACTTGATTGTAAGACTATCTAATAAGCTATGTGTCTCTGGGCGTGGGGCTTTTTGTTTTTTAGCTGAAGGCAAATGCACACTTTCATAAGCTGTTTCTAGATGTTCCCATTGATGAGCCACTGAAGCAAAGTAAGTATTAACTCCCTTGTCATTGCTGGCTGTGGGTATAAGATAATGTTGTTACGCACCAACTGTGGTGATGTGCAAGAAGGACTATCTAAATTTTAAAAACCTTAAACTCCAGCTGCCTAGAGCTACAAGGTCTTCATTTGCATATTTTTGTTGTAATTTTGCAAAACTTAAATTGTCAGGTGTTGGGCATCTTTGGGAATTGTAGCCCGCTTTGCACTTCTTAGCAGAGTAACCTAGTGCAACATTTTTTTGGTATGGAAGCTTCCTTACTAAGCTTCCTTACTTCCGTACTAAATGTTACTATTTAATTGAGACAACTGACTAGCTTGAGTATTTGCTGTTGATGATGCTTTAAGATGTAAAAACACTGGTGCAAGAAGGACTTAAAATGTTTAAAGACCCTACTGTTCTTTGTGGTAGTTATAACAAGTGAATTCTACATAGATATGTGTAACAAATGTTTCTTGAAAGGAATACAAGGAAAGCGGTTCGTGAGTGAGAAATGGTTTGCTCAATGGCTGTGAAGTAAAAGCAGTATTACCTTGCGTGTGTTGTACCTCTGTTGGTCATCTAGTCCAGACAGCTGCTATAGAGCTGAAAGTTTAAAGCTAAAACCTTTCATTAAGCTCTTTACATTTACATAATATAGTTACCTGAAAGCTAGTCAGAAAGTTTATAGGAAGCCAGGTGGTACTCTCTCAGAAAGGGTTCTTGGCTTCTGGGAGCCAGTTGCATGTTGTTATGCATTTCAGTCTTTGTCCTTCAGATATTTTGAGTCTAAACTTAGGCCTGTGAAATCTTCTGAGTTTGTCAGTATTAGTTAAATTTATTGAATATTTCAAGGTTTGACAATATTTACCAAAAGGTATAAACCTAAACATATTATGGCTTTGAAAAAAGATCAAAACAAAAGACAAATTGGTAACAATTGGCTTGGGTTGCGGTGACCTTAAAGATTATAGAGGATCTATCTGTTTCAGGTTTTACCTGTGCTCTGCAGAAAGAAATTCTGTACCAAGGAAAGCTATTCCTTTCTGAAAACTGGATTTGCTTCCATTCCAAGGTTTTTGGTAAAGACACTAAGGTTAGTAAAATCTTTATGTACAGAATAGTAATGCTATCCCTTAACAGTTTATTCATCACCAGAAGCAATGCCCGAAAGTCACTCTAGAACTGGAGCACTATTATTATTATTAAAGATCGAGTCTCTCTCCTAAGGACTTTCTGTCTGAAAAAAATAGATGAAAGGAAAGGATCTGACATGCAGCCGTGAGGGCATTGCCAAGCCCATGTAGCACAAACTGTACAAAAATGTCTCTCTTGGGGTAAGTATGGAAAAGAGGAGGAGGAAGGAAGGATGAAAAGTACAAGGACTACAAGACTGTAGTTGGGGAACTGGAGGGAAGGATCAAACATATTAAGACAATTAAAGAGGAAGAACTAAAACTGGCTTCTGAGTTGAGTGGCAAAGGTCTTTGAGGGATTCTTCTAGCACTTCTTCAGTTCTGCGTAAACAGAGAATGGGGAAAGAAAAACCAGTTTGCTAGGTTTCTCCTTGTGACCCTAGTATGAAGAGCAGAAATGGGACACCAACAGTTGGGAAGATCCTAATTTACAAGATCATCATTTACTCTTTCTCAGTGCAGATATGACCCACCTAAGGCTTGGGCCCCTGCAGTGAATGGTATGCATACAGATAAAAATAAAGCCTTTCCAAAAAGATTTGTGTTCTGGTTCTGTTGATTCAGAGCTTTTGGAGTGGTTTTCTTTGTTTACATAAACTCTGCTTTGTTTTTGAGCTTTTATTGGGAAACAGCTCAATTTGCTGCGAGAGTTTCTTTGGTTTCTTTCTTAAGTACATCCTTGAACAAAGTTCCTGGTTAGATCCAGACCCTTTGTCAGTGAATTGGGTGCTGAAACAAGTTTTGGAGTTGACAGTATCTCATTTCTCTGCTGTTAACCATTTTGATGGAACACCACCTATCTTTGAAATAGTTTTTAAGAAGGTAGAATAGGTTTAAAGAATGCTTACAATTATTAACAACACATTGTTCATAGTGACCTTAGGGATCATTGTGTTTTACTGCCTGGCCCAAGAAGCTGAGTTGTTGTTGATTCCTAGTTAATGGGTTCTGTTAGTCATAGGCAGTACATTAATGCGGATGGTATGTATGTTGGTGAAAGCCATGTGGCACAAACAAGGAGATCAAAATTAACAAATGGTTGGATACTGTCATTCATAATTAGTAACAGCTATCTTGGCAATTAGTTTCTTTAAAATTGAAGCTGCTGTACTAGCAATCTCCTGTTCATCACGAACAAATGGTGGGACAGCTTTCTAAATTCAAGCGAAGCTAAACGTATACAAAAATCTAGTAGGACTCTACCAAGTAGACTAGAAAGACCTGGAAAAAAAGATGCAGAATGATAATGATGTAGTACTGGGAAATTATCTTTGTCAACAGGGTTTTGAATGCAGGAATATATACATATTTATGTATACGATGAAAGGTGAAAACATATTACAAGATAGGGTAGAGTGGACAGTATTTGTAAATGTGGCTATAATGGTAGTCCAAATTATTCAATTCTGGGTCATTGTTTTCAGAAAACATTGCAAGGAAAATGAAGAATGAAGGGGATAGGCCTGATCATTTACTTCCAGCTGTCTTCCCCTACCCCTGTAACACACACTCAAAGCTTTGTTCAGTCACATACAGCATGCACAAGCTTTTAGGAATACCATCAACAAAAAAGCAGTAAAATCAGGGATATAATGAAAAATAATGTAATGGGAGGGGGAGGATGAAATCAAGCTTGACAGGAGGAGGAACCTTCTTAGCAGTCAGATACACTGACAAAGTTTCTAAGACACAAAATCTCTATTGTTTAGAACTTGTAAAACAATTTAAGCTTAGTGATAAAGTGTTTTATTGTGAGAAATAGCAGGTCTACATGTTCTGATAAATTTTTCAACATTAATTCTTCTACCTGCAGAATTTTTTTTATTGAAAGCTTTGGTGGAGGGAATAGCCATGCAAGTCAGGAGATTTGAATCTGCAGTGTAAACACTGTGCATATTCAAAAAAAAAAGATTGCTTCTGCAGGATTGAATAGGCTTTGAAAGACATCATTGTCTTTCCAGGTAGTTCTGTTTTGGATATATATATTGGCCTTGAGTCTTTCTTGGAGCTAAGCATTATCTTATGCATTTTAGCTGCTTTCCAAGTTGCCTACAGGTAAACCTTGTTTCCTGAAATAAGTATTACTCCGGACAGAAATAAAGTACTTTGCCATGATTTTACCATTTTAATCTAATGCTGGGGTAACAGTGCAGTAACCAACTACTTAATCCCACTTAAGTACACTTTAGTCTTGATTACAGTAATGTTATCCATCAAAATAGCATGCAGTAGAATGCCATTAACATCTCTGATTTAAGGTTCTTTGAGGTGAACTGAACCAATTAGAAAACTTCTAAGCTGCTTTTTTTATCATTACTATTAGCAGGATTTCTGCTGAAAAATCTTCTGGTTTGGTTTTGTTTTGCTTTGTTGTTTGTTTGGTTTTGGTTGGTTGTTTTTTTTTTTTTTTAAGTGATGCAGACTCTGTTCTGACTACCTGAGGATTCTGGGTTTTTCCCATCAAACACACATCATAGCTGGTCCCTTCTCCCCACTCCCTGAAAAAGCTGTTTTGAAAAGTGTTGCAAAAACTTTGTTGAACAATGCAATATCCAGTTTAAGAAGAAAAGGTATAGTCGAGGGCCTGTTTGATTACCCCTTTTCAAAAGACATGGCTTCTGAAGCAGCACAAATAGAGCTGGCATGTTAAAAAAAATCAGTAGAACAAATGATGACCAGATTTACAGATTCTTAGATGCAGGCCTGGAACTAAGAATAATTAAAATTATATGCGTTGGGTTGGGTTGCTTTGGTTTTTTCCTGCTAGCACATTTTTTTTAATGAAACTTAAGTACCGACTAAAGAGAGAGTTTCTGGCCCTTAGATGACAAGCAGATACTTGACTAGCCATGCTTAAACAGTGGCTGGCAATCTTGCTCCCAGGCTAATATACACAAATACAGTTTTTGTTACCTGAAACAATTTTGCATTTCATGACTTTGCATTGCTGTTCTGAACAAAAGTTAACAAGGTTTTATGAAATTGTGCACAGAGTAACTTCATTCTCCTTCTGCACTGACGTGTTTTTAATTCAGTGCTGTGATCACTCATTGAACAATCTTGGGACACTTTTAATCTTGCTTCCAAATTTCTCAGGTAGTTGTGACAGTGTGTGCCAAAGGAATTTTTAATAGGAGCTGTATCCTAATCATGTGTATCCAGGATTATTATATTTGCCTAACTCGCTAAGCTCTAGGCTTTTCAACTGAAAGTCAAACCAGGTATTTGGTCCTTTGTAATATGGGGTTTACAAAAAGAGCCCATACAGAATATCTGAAGTGAAATACTCTTAGTAGGCATTAAGCTAATGGGGTTGGATGTAAACACGAAGCAGGAAGGAAAATCGTGAACTTTTCACTGTAAATGTAGACAGTCTGGATGGCAGACACAGGAATCAATTTAAGTAAGTCAGTGGGTGTGTGGGTATTGGATCTTTCAACATTACTGAAGGACAAGCTGTTTACTCAGCTGCTTGTTGCAGGCTAAAGGATCTGTAAGTGGTGAGAAGACTTCTATGTTCATTCTTCAACAAGCCTCTCTTGTCTGATGTGTTTGGAAATGTTTTGTTTCTAAACGAAGAAGCCTAGCTTTAAGACTGGTTTGTCCTGCAGATCTACAGTGAACTAAGCCTGTAGTCTTGTAAGAACCAGAAGGGATCAGGAAAAGAAGACACAAACAAAAGCCTGGATTGGCATCTGATAAATATAGAAGTAAAAATAGTTAAGAAATAGTAATAATCTGAAACCATACCTGTTCAATATGACATATTAGTAATCAGGGATGTAGTGGAGAAATCTTTAATTGAAGAGTGTTGAAGGTCTGGCTTATCACAGTTGGTAGGCTGGCTCCTTGTGAAAGAGTATGCAGATTTGTATGCGCGTTTTGGGACTCTAACACTACATTGATCTTGTTTCAGATTAGTATACCTGTGCTCTCAGTGACACTTTTGAAGAAAACCAAAACTGCCCTTCTTGTGCCAAATGCTCTGATCATAGCAACAGTCACAGATAGGGTAAGTACTGGTAGAGGGCAAAGCTATTGCACTGTGCTTGCTTTCTTTTTCTCTTTTTTTTTTTACTTTTTTTTCCCTTCCCTATTTATTGGCAGTAATATGAGGGATTCTTGAAAGTGCCAAGTGGCCATTTAAACAGTTATAGGAATTGGTCACATGTGGGCACTTACGACCCTGGAGGATCTGGTTTCTTAGGGGATGATTCTAGCTTCTTCTGCCTCCTCTCTTGTGACAGGCAAGGACCGTTTTTATCCCTGTCTTTTTTTTTTTGTTTGGATCTGCAGTAAACAAAGCTACTAGAACTTGGTGAGAAAATAAGAAACAGAATCTCTGGTTGCCACCTGCTCTCTATCATTCCCCATTCTCCAAGACCGCTGTGTAGTAGCACTGGGGGAACTGAAACAGCTGGGTCAGGAAGTGCATGCACAGAGGGTTACCTGCTTTGTTGGCAGCTCTGACAGCATTCTTTCATTTACTTGGGTCTCTTACCTGACCAGCAATACCTTAGATGCACAAAATACAGTTGCTTACAGTGATACTCAGGAGTAGTAATTGCATCAATCAGTAGAAAATGTGATTATCCTACGAGCAGCTTTAGAACCAGCCCATTTTCATTGCACAAATATTTTGTGGATGCAGGAGACTGTACAAAAAATGAGTTATGGTTCGTTGGGTTTTTTTAAAGGGGTAGGTAAAACATAGTATGCAAAGTCTTTTTAAAAAAAAGACCAGGTCTGGACTATGCTCTGGTTCCTGCAGCAGAACGTGGTAACTTTTATGTCCCTGTTCTGTGTTCCTTGTGATTAACCGCAGGTCATAGGCTTAGAAGGAGTGGAGGTTTTTCCTGCTATGTGAAAGTTCTTGAAAATAGTTACTTGATCAGCAAAATCACCTGTCAGTTTTATTTAGATAAAAGGAAGCTTGTACTGTATGCCTTTTTCTCAAACAGTTTTGGAACTTTTGTTTTTCAGTACATGTTTGTCTCCTTACTCTCCAGAGATACCACCTACAAGATATTAAAATCTATCTGTAGGCATCTTGAAGTAAGTACTAACGGGAGTGAAGATGGTATGTAGCTTTGTGTTCATTATTACTGCTTTCCTGCTTTTAAATGCTAGGTTTCTGACTGCGTTCCTTGTTAACACTGCTGCTTTTTTCAGGATACAACCATGGGCAACAGTCCAAATCCCTCTTCTGCAGAAAACAGCTTCACATCTGATCGTCCTACAACTCTGCCCTTGGTAAATGGCTTAGGTGTTTGTTCTTTTGTTGCATTGCACCTTTCATTGCAAGTACTACTTACAATGCCTGAAGAAAGGAAACTGAAGGAAGTCATGACATCTGTGTCTAAAACTTCCATGAGATTTTTAACATTACAAAGCAGTGGGAATGATTAGCATAGGTGTAATTTGATCTGATCACATGCAGTATATATACATGCGTATGCTTTGGATATATGCCAAGGTCTGTATGCTCTACCTATCTCTCTTTAGCAGTCAGGTTTCACAGCGCTCTGTACTGACTTAAAGTTGCTTCTTCCTCTGCCAGTTTTTGAAGTGTTTCTAGTTGCAATCCTTCCTCTGTGAGGCAGTTCAGACATCTGAAAGAGCTGTGTAGCCACGTGTGATGACTAGAGTCTAATTCTAGCAATGCCTGTCCTGGACTTCCCAGTTTGTCTAACTTAACAGTCTCTTTCTTTTGCACACAGGCTTAATCTCTTCACTTAAATGAAGGCAGGGTATGAGGCTTGAATTCTGGTGATCATGTGGGGCTTATTTTGCTAACTTGATCTCAACATTTTGATATCAGAGATTGTTCCTGGTTAAACAGTTTTAAATCTGTAATTGTTAGTTCAGTTTCTAGAGGAAGGTCAGAGGAAATAAGGTCGTTTAGATTTAGAACAAGGCTGAGCTTTCTTGTGACTCTCTCTCCCCATCAGGATTTCAATGAAGACTATTCTGATCTGGATGGAATAGTGCAGCAGCGGAGACAAGAGATGGAGGAGTCCAGCAGCACAGGCTCACAGACCCCAGAGCTGGAATGCTTCCAAGGTGAGTGGGATCGTGGGGCCCCAAGAAAATGAGAATGGCTTAGCTCTCAGTTTTGCCTCTGTAATCACTTTCTGATGTGGAATCTACATTCTCCACAGTTCTGGAGAATTACACAGTTTTTAAGGTCTTTCTCAAGGCCACAATAGCTGCGTTTCCATTATTATATCCCTTTGCAATCCAGACATAGGCAATGACTTGGTCAGCAGTGGATCTGATTTGTCGCTACTGCCTCCAGCTGCTTGTCCGTGTACTGTCTGCTCCCCACATCCCACATCAGTTACGCTAGCAGAGATGCAATGTAGGAGATGTTCCTCCTTTAAAAAAAAAAAGAAGCAAACAAAAACCCCTATTCTAATGGTCATCAAAAAAGTTATTTTTGACATGTGTTTTTGTGGTTTTGTTTTTTTGAACCTTCATTTCATTCTTTGCAGTTATTAAGACACTTGAAGATACTGTCCAAAGTTGTTCTTTCTTAACACTACTGTTTGTAGTCTCATATGCCTCAAGGTCTTCACCTAATTAGCA